CCCCAAAACCCCAAAACCCCAAAACCCCAAAACCCCAAAACCCCGGACCTAAACCAGGTCTTGAAAATATAATCAGTTAATACATTTTGATGCTTATAAGCAGTTATCAAGTTCTAGGTCTCTGTTTCATGAAGAAGATTGTTTTGGAAATACTCCCATGGGCTTTGTTGTATCACTAGACTAAAATAGACCCTCCGCTTATTTCTCAGGGAAATACTTAGTATGAGTCTGACTAGGCATGGAATATTATTCCTCATAAAATTAAAAATGTCCTGAAGTGTGAAGGCTATTGTCTTTCAAGAAATTCTTTAAGTGGTAGAAGAATGGCATCTAAAGAGCCACACAAGTCTCTTCAGGAGATTTTACGGTTAATAGTCTTGTTTAAAGTCTAGCTGAAGCTACTCAACCCGTTTATTGCTCTAATGAATCTAGCCGATCAGTACGCTCTAGGAGATTTATACTGATTCCCAATCTATTTTTGACAAGATGAAGAGTATTTTGTATTAAAACAGCTGGAAATTAAAAAATTTGCAACTGGTTCGGCGCACAAAGGTGCTTAAATATACAGATTTAGGTAAAATCCCAAATGAAATCCTGCAAACGAGATAATCCCCATCTAGGCTACTACAGGTACAAACATGTAGGAGGTTAAGAAAGAAATGATGAGGTGGCCTATACAGCTGATTTTTCCACACTTCCCTCGAAATGTTTGCTACCCATTTTCATAATCATCGGTCAGTTTTCACTCAGTTTTTACCCGAATCGTAGTTTTTGCTTGCATGTAGATAAACTTGAACTAATCAGTTCACACTTCTATAGGATAAATTTCACTCAGAACTTGACAATGCACCCCAGTCTTTAAATCTCGAGACCTTTAGAGTGGCCAGAATATGATTTTGGGACCGTCAGTCCAGATTTTGGTTGATTTCTACCCTAGAAGTGTTAAGGGAAATTATCACAATTTTTATTTTACCAAGAGTTGTCAAGAGGCATTTTATTTCCAACCATTGACTTCCTCACACTACCTATTGGATGTTGGAAATTTTATATTGAACAGCCAGGCTGGTCTATTTTAGTAATGGCCGAGGTATAATTTCAGCCCAAATATGGGAATAGTAATACAGCTTTGTAATTAGTGAGCAGGAAATTAAGCATAAATGACTGTAAACCTACTTTCTTCCGCAAGTTTTCAATCAATATGGAAGTTTTATTAATTATTATATATACTCAAAATAAGGTTTACATCGCCAACTCGGGGCTCTCTATTGGGGTTTTGGGGTTTTGGGGTTTTGGGGTTTTGGGGTTTTGGGGTTTTGGGG